TGTGGTTTTATTCTTTATCCAGCTTCCTCCTATAGTCAAAGAAAATGACTGTTTGGTTGAGTTGTTTCTCTGATTTGCAAATAAGTATTGGTGTGGGGTTGCTGTGTGTGTCTCTGTGATGGAAGATTGCATCACAGCCGTTAGTCTTTTTGCCTCATATTCCTTGGTACTCAGGTATTTAGTCATGTTCAGTTTAGTTTTTGTTTACCTGATCCCTGGGTTCCCCTTGTGTTACCAGTGTTTTATCTCTTTGTCCTGGTTCCTTCTTCACCGTTAATCATGTTTCCTTTTCCTTTTTGTGTCTTTCCAGTTATTAATTCCTGTGGTTCTAAAATTAGACAAATACAAAAGTGGTTTAAATACCAGGAGAAACACAATCCAGAGGCCAACACCCTGGTTCAGGCTCTCATTGAAAATCGTTACAAATACAAACAGGGTTAACATTAGTTTACCGCTCTGCAGGGCTCTGTCCTGGGTCCTTTTCTGTTTCCGCTTGGTCCATAACAGTCATCTTTTTAAGGATATTTTCAATCATTGCTACGCTGATAATATCCCTTTGTATAAAATTTTTCCACAAAATGAAGTTTCAAGTAAAAGTCTGATGTCTGAAGGTTATTTTTCCAACTAAACAAGGATAAAACTGAGATAATCATCTCTGCATCAGAAAATAAACAACAAAAAACACTCCAAAAAAAATGTAGACAAAACAAATAATTGGCAAGAACCATCAGAATAACCTCAGGTTTTACCCTAGAATATGATTTATAATCTCTGATTTGTTGCTATTTTCATCATCTGTGAAATAATGTTAAACAAACCTTGTACTGTTGTATCTCATCCAGAAATGTTAATGCATAGTTTTGTTTCATATCGGCTTGATTTCTTTATAATATAGATGTTTAACTAAAACTTGCCTTATTGGTTGCCATTTGTACTTTATGCTGCTGCTAGACTCCTGACCGGATCTTATAAGTTATGTCATGTAAATCCACTCTTACTGCAACTTTATTGACTTCTGGTTCAGCATCAAGGACCTTTCCAGATGTTGATCTTGTCTTGGTGAGTGTTGCATGGACATACAACTATTACATTGCTTGATCTTTACCTCCCTACACCTCCAACAGGACCTGGTCCTGTGATTAAGACCTGCAGAGCCTTTTCTTCTGTGGCCCCGAGACCAAGGAACTACCTCCTTCCCTCTAATCAGAGGACTTAGTGGCTTCTTTTAAAACCTAGCTAAAAACGTACAGTTTGAAATATCCTGTTGCTTAAATTTAGTTTTCTTGTATTTATTTTGTGATATTTGTTTTACTGACTAACTTACGTCGGTCCTTAAGGACTAATTTTGTAAATCTCTGTATTATTATAGAGGTAAGCTTAATCTTCCTTAAAAGCAGGAAATAATACAATAGGTTGAGCAAATGGAGCCTTAAATAAACATATTTTTGCCTGGGAAATACAGGACACTACAAATGTTTGCACTGCCGTTCTGGACTCATAAATTATTTATCTTCAGACCAGGAAAGTGTTTTATTTTGGAACATCTCCAAAGCAGACACAACTTCAAATTGCTTCTACATTGTACATACCGTAAATTCTCTAATATAGGCCCGGGCCTTTATTTCACTCAAGTGCATCGCGGTCCAGGCCTTTATTGGATAGAGGCCAGTATTAGAGACAGGCCTCTATTGCTATTTGAGCAAAACAGACTACCAGTGGAATGAATAAAAATGAGATTTTGTGTCTATTTGAACCTATAAAACACTAGGTTCATTTATTGAAAAAGTACAGTTACCATGTCTCGCTTGGTTTGAAGTAAAAAAAAAAAAAAAAAAATCCTCCAATTCTGTTTAATTCTCCTCCTCGGTTTTTCTCCTCCTCTTCATCTCTCCCTTTAATCTCCTCATCACTCGCGCTCCTCCTGTTCTGCTGCGTGTCTGTTCCCTTCCTTGCGCAGACGGGCAGCAGTCAGGGCCTGTCGGCTGTCGTCCAGCTGCGCAGGGCTGTGGTACTTGTATGTTACTTACTACCACAAGTATATTGTTGAGGTATGCCCAGAAAAAACGTTTATAGCCCCGGCCTGTATTAGAGACCGGCCATTATTTACCTCCTCTGACAGCGAGACCGGCCATTATTAGAGACCCGGCCGCTATTGGAATACAGGCCAATATTAGAGAATTTACGGTATTTTATAACGGAAAGAAATTGACCAGCAGTCACCTTAAGGGATGCTTGGAGTTGTGAGAGTCTTCCTTAATATAAGCCATTTCCTTAGGGGATGAATTTGTTTGGAATGTCAGTCCGGGAATGAAATGGACAAAAACAGATTAAATGTTTTGCTTGGGTGGAAGGATTGATTAACAATCATTCTTTATAATTTAAAAGTCTTGCAAGACTTGAAGACAAAGACGGTGTTAAGAGCTCATTAAGGAAGATGACACTTAATTTAAATGCAAAGATGGAGAGAGAGAAAAAAAAAAGACAATGTCAGAGGTTTCAATAATTTAGCCCCACCTTTCAGTCCCTCTGGATTATCTAATTATACCAATAAATCTGGAATCTTCCTTTTAATTTAACTGCTGTGCCAGTAATAAAAGCAGGCATACACCTATGCAGTACTGCTTTGAACTTACCTTTAAATGTATAGTGGAGAATATTCACGAATTTTTGAAAAGAACCGTGGCACAGGGCCATTTCTCCTTGAGCCAAACTCTGTTTAAAAATTGCTGCTTGCATCGCTCATACATTACTTTCCAAAAGAAGATTTGAAAATTTTCCACTATGTCAGACTCACTACCAGTAAGTGAATAGGGAGACGAGCACATAGGACGGCCTTACGTAAATATATCACCAGAATGATTGACAATTAGGAGGACCAATTATTTTGAAGATCAAGCCGGAAAAAGAACAAGTTCTACTTTACCTTTAAATATGAAAGTGGCGTGTTATAGACCAGAAGTCTTCAGTCTTCGAGGTCTAGAGTCCTCCAGCTATTAGATGTGTGTGTCCACTTCTCCACACCTGAATTAAATGGGTGAATTACCTCCTCAGTATGCAGCCTGTTCTTCAGTGTCCAGCTAAAGATAAAAATATGATCAAAGTATACTTACAGAATTTGCTTTTAGTGTTTTTAATTATTTTGTTGTGCTAATAGTGTTTGCTACTCTTAGGTAATTTAAGTACATTTTTAACTTTCAGAATGGAAAGTAAACTCTACTATAATGGTTAATACCAAGGGCGTAGGTTTGATTTTAACTTTGGTAGGGACACGATTGGTCATTGGTGCTATGCAATATGCACGCCCTTTTTTATGCTCGATGTGAGCATCCGTACTGATAAGAGGAATTCAATGTTAAAAGAGAAAAGCATAATTTTGCTACATTAATAAAAATTAAATAAAAAAAACACTACACTCATTAGATGCTGTTTATCAATGTTTGAAGCATTAATTGATTATTTCAATAATCGTCAACTAATTTAATAATTGATTCATCATTAACTGGAGTATAAAGACTCTAAAACATAATATAAATGTAAAATGTGTCTTTTTCCAACAGAGCAACCCACTTAGATCAGTAATTATACCAAAATTGTAAAACTACAAGACATATATATAATCAAAATTCTCCATCCAGAACTCCTCATGTGGAAATATTTTAGTTTCACCTGGTTTATTTAGACATCACCTGAAGCACTGAATGGCAGCTGCTTCACCTACAAGCTGCCCTGCACCATTATTACTGGATATCTGTGTTTCCTATAATCATATAATGTATAAGTGCATTTTTAATAGTAAAGGATTAAATGTAACACAACCTTTTATCATTGTCCTATATTGCTACTGTCTGACTGTATAAATAGCTCCTTATGTATATTTTCTTTTTAGTGGCATCATCTACAAACACAACACTGAGAATGAGCCTAAGTTTATTAAAATATAAAATCACTTTTAACAATTATAAAAGACAATATAACACTATCTTATCTGTAATTTAATAATATCCAAAATAAACAGTCAGATTCCAGCATTTTTACCAGACATTAATGTTTGTACTAATTTACTTATAGACTGTGTGGAAATCTATGTAAGATAAAATCAATGTTAATATTCTTCATCTGTTTGTTCTTCTCTTTATCCTATTTCTAGAAGTATAAATAGTCAATTAAATTATTATTATTATTTGGAACCCTAATTATGCTTTTTAAACGATAAACAGCAGATGTTTAGCCGCCATTTCTTGTTGTTTTCCTCTATAAGAGAAATAACACCTGCTAATAATTATACCTGAACTTCCTCAGAGTCATCAAAAAATGAAACCAGTAACAGCAACTAAATATTGGTAAAAAGGAAACCGTCACATTTTCTTTTTTAGGTGGCTGTGGCTAAGAATCAGAAATGTTGATGGCTTACAGCCTTTATTTGCCCATTTTGTGTCTTCAGAACTCCTGGCTGACTCAGAATATTTCGTTTTATAAAAGAAAAAAAAGGTTTTTGTTTTGTAGTGTACATGATATTCATTTTTTTTATTGGGACTAGTTTCATAGTCTAATATTAATTGTAGTAACCGCTGCATTCTAGTGTGAATAAATTTTCAATGTTGTGCTCCAAGCACAGCGGACTAGAAAACAGCCAATCAGAAAGAGAGAAGGCGGGACCTAAGGCAGAACAGCCAATGAGAGTGGAGTTAAACAGCGCAGCACAGTTCAATGCGCTGCTAGGTGAAAGGGACAGGAAAGACCAGGCAGAGGAGCTGCGAGAGGAAAAGAGCCACTGCTGTAAATTATAAACATGTTGCTCACATCCAATTATTGGTCGGGACAATTAGGACGGTTCAAAACTTTGGTAGGGACATGTCCCTATGGTCCCTATGCAAACCTACGCCCATGGTTAATACATGTTTCATCCATTTAATGTATAATACGATTGTTTAATGGTTCAGCTGCTGTTCTGACCATCTGTAATTCTGCCTGAACTGTGAAAAACACACACTAACACGTTGTTATACAATAACCATTTATTCATAAACATGGCAAAGTTAGGAACGCTGCTGTTCGGCCAGAGAACCTTGAAATCAAATATAAGCAAAAACTTACAGATGGGTTCTGTTTACATGTGGAGAATAGAAGAGTTCATCCGCTGCCTTGTACCTGAAAGTTAAAGCCCGGCTAAAATTGTGGGAGCTTCACGATTCTAAATCCAGAAAATACTCCTCTTAAACATCTCTAAACTCTCTCTATTGTTTGTTTATGTTTATAGATTTTTTTTTCTCCAGTGAAAGCAGACCTGCATTCTCTCCTTCAGCCGTTTACACCTTCTGCTGTGTTCATTTTCCTCCTGAACTGAAAAAAATAAATGTCAGAACTACATACGACACTTAAGTAAAAAGGGTCTAAATGTACAAAATCCATTTTTAAAAACACAAACCCCCATGCGCACACACATACACACACTATGGCACACATTGCTGAGCAGTGAACTTCACGGACATAAGAGAGAGGGCTTCTATTGTGAGCACAGAGCCGTTTCACACGTGTGCCTACAGGCACACGTGCTACACTCAAGCTTTGGAAAAACAAACACTTGGACAGAATAAAGATGAAATGTTTGGGTTTCGGCTCAGTGCAAACATTATGGCTTAGGAAGCTGCAGTAAAAGGAGAACGGGCAGTAGGCTACAAAGTAAAAAAAAAAAAAACAACACGTTTTCTATCTACAGTACATTTTGAATGTATTCATACACCTTTTTTCATCGTTAGTGAGATTATAACCACAAACTACAAAGTGTTTTATTGGGACTTAAGGTGGCAGACCATCAAAAAGTAGTGCAAGGAAAAAAAAAAAAAAAAAATTAATTGTATTTTTTAAAAATCTGAAAGTTCTGGTGTGCTCTTTTAAGATGAGGAAACTAATTTGATACCTCATAAAATGCAGTTATACCTTTAGAGGCAGGAGTTACTTGATTGGTCAATAGAGACGTGAGTCATTTCTCTCTCTTCGTTAGAAAAGAGTGAATAATTGGCACAAGGAGAACTCAAGAACACAGCAGGAAGATGAGGGAGGAGGTGTTTGGTTATAAAACTATATTTCAAAACTTTAAAGATCTCAGAAGACTGGCAGGATTATGCTGCATGGATTATTTTCTTCCACGGGGATAGCTAAAAAGGCTGAAGGCTGCAAAGATGGGAGACTGGTCCAAGTCCAAAGCGAAATTTCATTGAGAATCTCTGCTAAGAATAAAAAAAGATGTGCACAACTAATCGCCATCCAACCTTAGTGAGTTTCAGCTATTCGGCAAAAAAATAAAATTTCAATCTAATGATTTGCAAATCTGAAATAGAACTGAACCATGTTGTACAGCTGTATATGCAGCAAACTGTGGTACTAATAAGTGCTGACCTAGGACTGAATACAAACACACAGCACACTTTTCAGATTTTCTATAAATTGGTTTGCAAACCATTTTTTTCTTTTTCTTACCCTTTTCAATTAAACACTATTTTATGGTGGTGTATCGTATAGAATCACAACCAAACAAACTGCAGTTTGTGGTTATAATGTGGCAAAATGGAGGAAAAAAAAAGTATTCCAAAGTACTGTATTTCAACTCAAACATAACACATCACTCTCAGAGACTGCTCAACACTCTGACAACACAGTTAAGTGCTCAAAACACCTGATCATGCTCACTCTGTCCTTTTCGAATTCAAAAAGCTGTGATTATCAAACATTTTTCTCCTTTCTTCTGAGCTGTGATTTCACAAAGCTGGCAGCGCTGCGTTTGAGTGCATGAACCAGTCCGTCAAAAAAAAAGAAAAGCAGCTCACTTATGTGAGCTTTTAAGTTCTCGTCTCTCTGCTGGAGATGCAAATTGGTGCATCAGAGAGTGCACGAGTGGGAACTTGTGCACTTAAGTGATGATAAAGAAAAACAGATGAGAAGTTTTTGTGCAGAAGTTCCAGCATATTCCGGCTCTAGGGAGGTCTTAGAAAGACATTAATCGGCTCAATCGATAGGTGCAGTCACCATGGATCTCCATGGAGAGTCTTTAGAGTGAGCAGGAGCATCTTGTGGAAAAAGCTGGTGAGAATTCGTGGAACATGAGGACTGTAACCGTGCGCTTAAGCACACTTAGAAGAAGAGCACACATTGAACACAGGGTCTTAATGAGCAGAGAGGAAGGCGAGTAAGACGTGTGGGTTTAGGTCTTTGGGGCGTGACGGGCTGTGTTGTTCCCAGTTCCTTCAGTCCAAACACACAGACGCACCCCCATGCCTTCCTTATTAGTGTGAGTGTGTTTGTGTATCTTTGTGCAAATGCTTCCCTCTACAGTCAAACGAACGAAGAGAATCCTGTCACAGGGGTGCGTGACCCCGGTGGGTTGGTGCTGGGGTTGACATGTGTGTGCGCGGGCTGTCCCGTGGGTGTGTACGCTCCCCCTGTGCTGTGTTGCGTGACCACGGTTTGGTAGTAGGGCTCCGTGTCAACGGTGGCGCACTCCTCGTAGGCGAAAGGACTCCCCGTCCCTTTGAGGCCTTTGGGCTGCCGCTTCCAGGAGTTGTAGTAAGTGGGGTCACTCATGTAGTGGTTGACAAAGGAATGTTTTGGCTGTTCGTCCTCATAGTCGCTGTCCGTTAACTGCAGACAAACACAGCATGATACATTTAAATGTCTGGATTGTTACTGGAACATGAATTAATAGGTAACTAATAAAGTGAAAGGTTAGATTCTAGCAGTTCTGTAACAATAGCAGGTGTCTTAAAGACTCATTCCTCAGCTAATACTAGATGATCACTGGCTACACTAACCCAAAATGGCAAAAAGGTGAGGGTAAACAACCCCTCTAAACTACAAATTTATCATGTTTGAGCTGCTGGCCTCTGGGGGGCGCTATATGCTAATTAAAGCTAAGGCAATTGGACCGAAAACTTTTCCCCGAAAATTCATAAGCATGAAAACTTCAAGCATCTTTGTTCAGTTGAAGTTTGAATGGAGTCTTCTTTTTTAACTACTTTTTGGTCACATTACAACATAAAACCTCAAAGTATTTTATTAAAATCTGAATGCCAGCTAACACAGTAGTTCTTAATTTGGAAGTGAAAGGAAAAAAACAAGTCTTTATCTGTTATAATATTTTACAAATACAAATCTACCCTAAAACAACATCCATGGTAAATATCTGAGTTAGATAAACAACCAAGAAGCCCAATGTAACTTTGTTCTGAAAACATCAAGTCATGTGACAGCATTAGTGGACATGGAAATGATGAAATATCCTAGCTGTGAAGCTGGTGTTGATGGTACAATGGAAAGAGCTCCAGACTTACACTCTGAAATTATTGTTATCATTATACAGCATGGTGGTGGGAGGATTATGGAGTATCTTCAGAAAGAGCAGGGAAACCTGTCAGAGTCTAAAAGTGTTTTTTGCAAATATTTTCTTAGTAAAACATTTTGAAAAGCTTTTTTTACTTTTCCCTCCACTTTCAATACACATTATACTAATGTATACCAACTGAGGATTCTCGTCTTTTCATGTTTTCTAAAATATCCCTTGACATTAACTGGTCCTTCTTCTACTTCCTCTAAAGTAACGTAAGCTTTGTAGAAGTCAGAGTCTGTTTAACTGATTTCTAACTTCTTTTGAAGTCTCCATCTGTCTGATCAGTCCTGATCAGTCTTTGCTTCTTTTTTTTTGATTGACTGCAGACATGATACATGAAATGAAAACTTTGATAATACCTGTTATAAACTTTTCATTTCATTTCACAGCAAAGTCGATATCTGACACCTTTTCTACTTTTTTATGTTATTTAGTTTTAATATAAAAAATATACCAAGGTTGCTGGTGAGGTGTTACAGAGGTATGAAAGTAGCTCAGTGTTTTTGGGATTCAAAAACATTTTCAGGTCAAACTTTTAGAATTTTGATGAAAAAATATTTTCAGAATTCTCAGTTTTTCTTTGTAATTTTTGAAGTGTAAAAAAATAAGGTTCAGTGTGAATTTGTTGCAGATATTTAATGTAATTGTTGGGCTTTAAATTATGGATAGCTGGATGTTGGATGGATGCATGGATGAATTAAAAGAAAATGCTTTTATTTTTAGAGCTCTTGGAATATTTTATATATAAATCTCAATTTAACTACATGATCTCAGTCAAGGAACAGACTAATTAGGGGAATCCTTCCTCACCTTAAACCTAATATTTGTTTAGTCCTTTCTGTGCAGCAGTATAAAAATAATTCAGGTAAACTGCAGGACAGTGTTACACAGTCTACAAATAAAAAGATCAGACATAAGTTTTTTCATATCATTAAACCTTGTGATGAAACAGGCAGCATCCAGCACTGGCCAACTAATCTTCCTTAAACAGACACATAACCATGGCCGTTTCTCAATTCAAAAGAACGCGAGCTCGGACTCATGTTCTTGCCAAGTACATTCTTGACAAGAACACAGGAAAGTATGGAATTGGGGAGAATGGGAACACCCACAATAAATATGGATCAATTGGAACAGAACAGTACTCGTGACATCACCACATTCAAAGCTAGTCTGGGGAGTCTGGAGCTGCATTTCACCCCCTTTTATTAATTCGTTCTACAGTGAATTCACAGCTCACGATGATGCGATCACTGTGACGCGATCTACCTGCTTACACGGCACGTCTAAAAACCACGTCAGACTCAGCTTCGCAGTGAGACGGCGATACTCTGACTTGTCTATCTGGAAGCCAAACGAGTAGAACAGTAATATGAAGCTCACTAGAGAGAAACACGCTGCCTTGGCAATTTGTTCAATTATGTGTGGTGAAATCCCTAAAAAGTAATGGTGACGACGCATTTGGACAAAGACATAGCTGAGCAAATGTGGCTACTACGGTCAATCAGTTTTACAAAAAGAATGGCCTTTGACTCGCACCCCTGCCATGCTTCTGTGTTTTCATTTGAGAAGAAGAAGAATCCTTGTTTGCACATGCCCACTGAGCGATTAGTCCTCAACAGCTGACTGATTTTGATTTGATTTTCTCCTGATTTTCTCAGGAGGTCATCGTGAGAGGCTGATCGCCTCTGCATGCCGCTGCATAATACACAATGCACTGTGAAGTTGAAAGTCAGCCCGATCAAAAAATTCTTGCCCGACTGTAAAGTTGGCCCGAAAAGGGCTAGAAAGTCATACAGTGTAAGCCTGGCTTAACATTAGTCCCGGCTGCTGATTCCCTCGGAGGTCCGCTGGTTACTACAGTCATCTCAACATCGGAACTTTTTAAAATAACGCACTAAATCAATAAATGGGCCATATAGTGATGCTCTCTTTCCTCAAATGATCTTAAAACGTACTTCAATGGAACAACAGCAACAAGAACTTTTAACTTCATACTCTGAGCTCTGTAAGCGCTCCCCTGGAAGCTGCTGCTGCTGCAGTGCATGCTCGGACAGCTCTCAATCTCGAGCTCGGACGAGTCTACTCTGATGCTTGCTCGGTAAAGAGGGAGGGGCAAGAACAACATCCGTCTGTTCTCAGTCTTGTGTTCTTGTGAATTACACCAACCAGACAGAAACAGGAGGAACTTAATCTGATACAAGAGATGAAGGTAAAGCCATATGGCAGAGACAGACAGGAGGACACAGATACCTCTGATTCAGAGACCTCAGTGGGTTTCTCTGTAAGCATGGTGCTTTCAGTAAGCACGGCTCCGTTATAGTTGTTACAGATATCCTCATCAGAATAGTGCAGCACACCTGGACTTGGCCTGGGTGGAGACCTGGACATGAATTTGGACAATAAGACTCTGATTTCTTATGAGGTTCAATGCTCTGTATGTCTGGTGCAAAGCTCACCGTGTCCCATTCTTTTTTAAAAAAGAGTTCTTGGTGTTGAGCGTTCTGCTGTTTAGTTCCAGAGAAGTAAAACCTCCGTTGTCGAGGGTTACCGACTCCTCCCCAGGAGTTATGTGCTTCCCTGCAGGATTAGAAAAAAATAAAAGAAAATTCTTATCACATAAGCAGGACACTTTTTCTTTTTATCATAAATCTAATTCTTAATAACCTATTCATTCATATTTAGGACAATATATAATGGCAGACTCAGGTTTACACAAAGCAAATTGCAAACATATTAAAAATAGAAAAAAAAAATGTTTAAAGAACCACATAACTTATTTCATTCATGTCTTTATCTGCTTTTATCACCTTGAACCTCAGTCGGCACACTCAGTTTCGGCAATTATTTCGGATGTGATCAACCATTAAATAACTGTTATTAGCGGTCATCATTCCCATAGAATAGCTTCAGATTGTGCCTCCTCTACCTTCTAATAGGTTTTTTTTTATGGCTGACAATATACAGCTTATTGTTAACAGCTGCTTTGACCACGTGTAAAAAGTCTTACTTACAATTTACCTACTTTAAGTTTTTATCTACTTTATTTACATTGCACCAACGTTTTTTTTTTTTTAAACTGTATTTTAAACCTTTACTTTGAATAAATTCCATTTTTCAGTCCATTAGAAACAACTCAGCTGACATGATTTGAGATTTTGGTTTTTGGTTTGTGTAATATTTTTTTTCAAAACATGAAGGACTACTGAAATGAGGTTCAAATAACACATAAATAGATTAATCAAGTCTGTGGGGAAAAAGACAATTACCTTAGGGTTAGGATTCATATGGTGACATTGACCTACTGAGCCTACTGGCACAATCTCAAGCCATTTTATGGGACTGATATCCACTAATAACGACCATTTATTGGGATAATAACATCCAAAGCAGCTGATTTCTGCCTGTTAAAAGGGAGTTTTCGTCTCCACTATCGCTACATGCATGCTTGGTGTGAGGGATTGCAGAGGGTCAATGAGTCTTCGCAATCAGCTGGTTTTCTTTAGATAGAAACATTTTGGACAATCTGACTGTGTTAATAAATTAAATAATACTTTTCTAATTGCAGCATTTCTCTGAGTGAAAATTAAATAGTAGTAGATCTGGTACTTCAGACATAAGAACTAAAACAAGATTTCTATATATAAAACTAATATTACGAATTTATAATAATAAATGAAGGGAAGAGAAACAAAAATTCACTCAGACACTGGGGACGGGGACCTGTCCTGATTTATTACAGTTAGGGGGAACAAGTTTACACCTTCCAGCAGAACAAGATGCTGGAGGCAGCTTTACAAACAAGTCCATGTACAGGTGTCCCAAATGTGTCTCAGCTTGTTTTTGTCATAAGAACAGACTTTTCTGAAGCGTTGGAGCACACCAGAAGGCCAACACGCCTAGGTGAAGATAAATGATGTCACTCAGGCTGGAAAATAAAAAGTGCCATTTTGTCTGAAGCATAAGAATAAATGGACAAACATCAGCAACACACGTGACTTCCTGAAAGACATAAGTACTAAGTGACAACAGTACAGACCTGTGCCGCAGGCCTTGTACTTGCTGCTGTGTCCATGCAGGAGCAGGGCAAAGACCAGAACCAGGATGAGGATGAGGCCAACCAGAGCCATAACCAGCAGGAACCACCACTCTTCATAAAAGGGACGTTCCGACAGCGCTGCAAGCATAGAGGTTGATAAGCAGTCTAATCACAGCTAAATAAATACTTCTTTATTATTGATTCAACGTAATGTAGATGGTTATTAAAAAGGATTTGCCTTTTTATAGATGTGTTACTTTAATGTTTTGTATCATCAAAAGTTTTTTTTCCCAGATAACCTGTTTAAATACTAAAAAGAGCAGTTTTCAAAAGATCAGACTTTATTAATTAAGGCAAAAATAGTTATTCAAGCTGACCCTGACTCTCTAAGGTAAATCAAAGAAATTCACTGTGACAACCATGCTTTCTATAGAAAGCTGGAAATTTCACAGACTAAACTTTACAATCAGCTAACTGACAACATTAGGTGGGCCACAAGATTTGAACAAACAAATGGTTTTATATTTAGAAATTCTACAAAAGGGAAGAAACAAAGTCAAAAATAGTCACTTTTGCTAAAAAAGACAGAAAAAAATTCTTCCACATATCATGAAATGGCAGGTGTTGCCTCCAAGCAACACAAGCAGTTATTAGCTTTAGAGGCTAATTAGCTTTTCTTTTATTTATAAAAGAAATAATCATTTAAAGATTATTGACTTAGGATATCCTTTACTCACAATAATATTAAGTTTGGCAGAAATCTGTTGGGAGGACTTTTCAAAAGAAAAGTACTCTTCTTTGTTTACACTCATTTAGGGTATTCTACAGGTAGAGCACTGATTAATTAGCTGTAAGGGGCAATTTCTTTATGTAATAAATCACAGACAGTGGATTATTTGAAAATTATGATAATTCCAAGTGCCTGTTCCTCATTTTAATGAAAGTGCTATATAAATGTTTTTAGGTTACCTCTTAACAAACACCTAATTTAAAGTAATCCTTGCCTATTTTGCATACCCAAATAGAAAAGCAAATTAAAAAACTACGGAACTGTAAGCCCACATTACATGTGTGATACATCATTTGAAAGTTAACACCTTCTAGTTTCTGAAAATATAAATGAAAATACTGTGAGTAAAACACAGCCGTAAATGCCACAATTAAAACATGACTTATAGTTGGGGTTTTTTTCTGGAAAATAATAGTTCTTTTTTGAATAACAGAATTGAATTAACAGGGACATGCTTGAAAATATTTATTCTGCAATGTGTCAACAACGACTACAGAAAATGTCTTCTAGCTATAACAGTTCCAGAGCTATGGGACTTTTAACTTCTGGTGTCACCAGCATCTCCAAACCTCTGCAAATGTGCCAAATTATTCCGAATTATGGTTATTGCATTCACACAACAATTTTACTCCAAAAATCACACTTGATAAACATTTTGATTGCCACAAAATATATTTGATGCAAATATTTGTTAATTTTTCTAACTTTCTATCAAATTATCTAACAGTGTGCAATTATCCTGTCACTAATGTGTCTGTGTGCCGTTTACGCAAGGCAATATATCAGGGCTGCACAACTCAAATTAGCCATGCTAACCCTTGTTTTAAAGGTAATTTTTTTGGCTGAAGAGTCAAACACAGTGTGTTGCCTTAACCAATAGCAGCCGGACTTTATGAGGAATAATATGAGAGGAAGCATGAGAGAGAGCTCAAGACGCTCTGATGGCTGTCCTGTTATCAAATCTCAAACCTAATTGGTGGGAAAACTTTTGTTTTGTAGGCTGGAAGGTTAGGAAAACAAACATATCTGACATTGACCCGAAACGTTTGTGGAAGCTATGGTAATTTGCAAGATGGTTAGCATTAGCTATGAGCATTGAACCATTCTGCTGGTAAAAAAACTGAATATATGTGGTGATTTTCCATCATGGAATGTTTTTAGTATGACTCTTAGAGACAAATGGAATATAAACAATCTAAGATCGGATTTGTAATACCACCTCAGGATCACTTCAAAGATAGGAAGTCCAAGCTTTATTTTAAAAATTCTGAATTAACATGCTATTTTTTGTTATTAATTTTGCGTTGGTGTCCAAAAAATGAATTGTGGAAAATCTAATAATAATAATAATAATACATTTAATTTATACTGCACTTTCCATCAAAAGATCTCAAAGTACTACAGAAAAATCTAAGATTTCTAAGGATGAATAACATGTCTATATCGGTAAAATTTTAACTGGTGTTATTTTCAAGGGGGCTGCTGTGTTTAATGTAAACATACAAAACGGGTTGCCGGTGAACTGGTTGATGTTAAGATGCTTTGGAGAAGACTTGATGAGTAAGAAATCAGTTTAGCATTCTGCACGTTAGAAACAAATCAGTTCTGAGTTTAGTGTTTTCTTCCATTTGTCCTGTAATGTCAGCTATAGGTTTCCTTTCTTCAGGTGGCAGCAAACGGCCAATCATCCGAGCATCTTCACCCAGCAGATTGCATCTACTGTCAGATCAAGCAAGAATCTGCCCCAGCATTATCTCCTGTGGTTTGCACATCTGTGTGTGTTTACCTGCAAGAGCCACAGAGGGTGTGCTCGGCTGTCCGTAACCATAGCGATTGACAGCGATGACTCTGAACTCGTAGCTGACCCCCGACCTCAGGCGCTCCAGCGGCACGGAGACAGACCTGCTGTCGGCAGGGAGGAGTCGGATGAAGGAATCCCAAACTCCCTCATCTGCAGGAATACATGTTTCATTATCACAGACAGATGGATAGTGTTGTTAGATGTGAGCAAGAATGAAAAATTTAAGATGTTAACAGTATTGTGGTGATGACCGTAATTACTGTTATCACTTTTAATGAAGAGGCTAATTCATGTTAGTGGTAGAACAATTAAATAACAGTCTAGAGTGGCTCCACGCAGAGTGCTGAAACTATCTCCCTTCCTGAATTACACATCCACTGATCTTTATTAGAAAATTGTGGCTGACTTGATTTGCACAGCGGGATCTAGAGACAGTTTAGTGAGAATATGTAGAAGAATCAGTGCAGACAATAACAAGGTCAGGTGAGTTGGAAGAGAGCTCACCTGAAGGACGAGCCTCAACGACGTAGCCAGAAACGGGCGCTGCACCAGTATCCCCTTCTGACCAGTGGATGGTGAGGGCAGACGACGTCTTGGTGATGGACATTTCCACGGGTGACCCAGGGGATCCTAAAGTATTGGAGAGACGCATTAACACAATTTTTACATTTTCTACAACTAACAACTCTACTTACTGCAGCATCCAATTTTTATTTCTATATATTTGTTTACTTTTTGCATCTGCACTTCTCCATTGAGTAGGTGATTTTGTCTGCCCTGCCTACCTGTCACAGGCTGAGCGGTGATGTTTGCCTGTATAGGTGGTCCATAGCTGACTGTGAGAGCCTGAACCCCAAACATGTAAGTTGCTCCTTTGATCAGGTCTCTAACTTTTAGCCATCGCTGCCAGCTGCCTTTCACATCCACTGTCACCACTTTGTTCACTCCTGCAGCAAAATGAGGAGAAAACCCGCTGTCAGAGCCAACAACTTCTCTAGTGTCCGTTATATGTTCTTGTGCATACCTTGAATAGGAGCAGTGGGCTGATAGATAACCCTATAGCCTTCCACTTGGCCATTAGGAGTGACTGGTGCTCCCCAAGACACGTTGACGCTCCCACCCGTCACTTCAGTGAAGGACAGGTAGCTCGGCTGGCTGGGAGCTGTGGATCAAACAAATGAAGGAAGATCAGTAAAACCGCTTTTCTTGCTCATCCCGTTTTTCAAGGGAAGCTGTCAAAAACGTCCTACCAGATGGCAGCGTTCGGGCCCCTCGGGGGTCACTGGGAGGTCCATCGCCCGCAGTGTTAAAGGCAGTCAATGTGACCATGTAAGGTGTGTAGCTGGTCAGGTTTGTGAGGTGAACTTGAGTATCTGGGACAAAAATCACCTTCACCTTCTCAGTCTGGTTTTGGTTTTCTCTTTCCCAGTAATGAACCTAGAACACAGGCAAGCAAAACCTTAGGATCTCTGTGAGCCTAAAAAAATCTTTATGTACGTATTCAGCAGCATTGAATGTCATAACCGTACATAGAGTAAACCTTTGTGTAATTCAGCCTGAGGATATAAGCAGCTGCCTAGGGAAGGCCTTAGAGATTTAAAAGAGAACCTGAGTGAATGAATAGCATGATGACAACAAAGGAACCCTTCATGGAGGTTAGGATTTAGCTCAATTTATTGATGTTGGGTTATTTCTCATTATTTGCCCATTCTCTCTAAAACACGGAGACAACTCAAAACCAACAGGACGAGCCTTGGAGAACCATTTGTAAACAACCCCACTTTATTGAACATCATGGCTCTAAATCTTAAAGTCCACACTGATCCAGGGCTGGTAACACGCTGCTGTTTAGATGGTGGTGTCTGTATTTATATATTTTAATATTGCTTGGATCCATCTTTTTTTTTATATCTTTATTTCATTTTCACTTAAATTTGGCTGTAGTAAAAAAAAAAGGCTAGTTTCTTTACAAAATAAATATTCAAACTTCAATTATTGAGATGCTATGACTGGATATAGTCGTTCAACCTTTTTTTAAAATATCAAATCATTATTCTTAAAGTACACCTTTGCTTTTAGATGAAAAAACTGTATTTTATCATATGACAAACACACCTAGAAGAAAAAACATTTAAATAATTTAGTCATATTTAACAATCTACTATTTCACATATGCACAACTTTTCCCTTTATTGCAATAAGTGTAAAGAAATCTTTATAAATTATAGTAGAATATAAGGCTTTTCCAGGCCAACAGTGAAGTGGAGACATTTTTACATCTCTTCGTTGCACATGCTCACTGGAGAATGGCTCAATAATATTTAATATGAGGAATGAATATTACGACAGTGGCTAGTAATGAAGACACATGGGTTAATATAGCCCATCCTTGTAGCAGAAAGTCGAAGAAAGGTTACATGATTATAGTCTGCCATATGAAAAGATCAATAATAATTTTAGGGGATGTACAGCCTGTAACTTATATCATGCAATGTAATTTCCCCTTTAGCTTTGTTTAAACATCCTCATTTAATCTTGAATTTCAGGATATATATTTTAATACAACACAGTTCTTGACCTACGACATAACAGACAAGTGTGGAACAATAAATCTGTCAAGCGAGGTAGTGACACAACAAAAATGCCCCCTTTTGAAGTCTAGAATTATTATTATTTAGAATGGAAATGATGAAAACAGCAAAGGAAATAAAAACTGACTGACTGCCACTGATGGTGGTGTATGGTTGGTAAAGGAGTTGGACGAATAAAATGAATGATATATATCTGGTACAGAATAATTTGATCCTTAACATAAGCCATACATTTAGGCAATGCATATGCAAGTCAGAGACTTTCTACTACAAAACATTATTGTTGTTTTTTCCTTGTTTCCTAACTAAACCGTCTCTACAAAGCTCCAAGATACCAGAGAAACAAGACATAATGGGGAATGTGATTGATGTGATGATATAGATAATCAAAAGCCTCTTAACCACTAAAAATAGTGCATTAAGTAGGTTTTTTTTTTAAACGTGGGTCGACACGCTAACAATCGGCATGGGTCCAACTCCTCGCTGGGAAGGTGTGTGGCCTGTGTCCACCTGCAGCTGCATGTCTGGTGACACCATGGGCCAGGGCGTAATAAGTGTGCTTGATTGTTTTGCTCTATTGTCCGTCTGAATCCCTCTCACCAGCGCTGCTCCATGTTTTACGGATGTTGTTTCGGCTTGTTATATCAGATGTGGCTGGCGCAGTGTGTTGACTTCCATACATTGGTGTCACGTCATTTAGCGGGTAAAGCCGGTTCTGGTTTTCCCACAGCATGGCGATCAGAGCCCAGGCAATTTTAATGTGGGTCGCTTACCAAGTCGTTTGACCTGGGTAGAAATCACTTGGTAAGCTATTCCCAATGCCACTAAACGCTGATTGTTCACGGGTTTAAACAGGTTTTTCCCTCTGTGGGAAATGGGTAAAACATTCACTAAATGGCATAGGTGCCTTTTCACTTTGAGTTTATTGAAAACATAGATTGTTGGTAATTTACCCAGAAAATTGTGTTTTTTGCAAAGAAGACAGTTAGGTTCAAACTTTCTGCGGCAATAGACAATATAGCTAAGTATTACCTGCATGAAGACCCTCAGTCCATTATACTTGGATAGTATAGTTAAAAAATACAGTAGCACTGGAAACATGCCTTGGTTTGATAACTGCAGTGAATTAAATCATTAACAGTAAGGGAGGTAAAGGTGTGACTTTACTGAAGACTCGATCTATGTGTTCACTTTCATCTTTGTTGGAAGACTTAAGTAGATTTGTTAAATGGAGCCTTGCGAAAGTTCAACTGAATAAACTGATTACTTGCCTTCATCCACCTACGACACAGCCAATCAGCTTTGAGCCATGCCTCCACGAGAGCCAATCAGCATCCAAAGTTCATCTTGAAAGGCCTCCGATCCGCAACTTGTCTGCTATCTAGTGCGCAGGCAGTGGATGTGCTGTCTGACTTCATTCAGATGACCCCGTTTCATTCCACCTCCAGTCCCTCCTCCACCATCGTAGCTAAAACTCATCAGAGTTTCATTCCTCTCTGACTTTTACTGCATACCGCGTCTCATTCAAACCAGTCTGGCAGGAGACCGCCATGTTGAGCCTGGTTCTGCCAGAGGTTTCTTCCCAACGGGGAGTTTTTCCTCTCCACTGTCGCTTCATGCTTGTTCATCATGGACAGGTTCTCTCAACCTGTGTTATCCAACTGGACTTCCATCTTCAAGGTCCCTGAGTGAAGCTCTAGTATCAGCTCATGCAGTCCACTGGATCTCTTCAATACAGCTTAAGCACACCGTCAGCAGTCTACAGACTGACCAACTTTATCTATCTCCACTGGGGGAAACAGCCCTGTTCTTTACTCCTGTTCAAGCATATCAATCAAAATTCAGCGCTATGTTTCCTGCCGAGGTCTGAGGGCAAAAGACTAAAATAATTTTATCAATACATTTCTTCTAATTGTCTTTTCTCTCCGTGTGATTTTTTCAGATTGAACTTAGATTAATCAAATTAAGACCAATCTGCAGACACTTTCTTGGGACAAAATATTTGTTGTTTTTAACAAGCCAGATTGCAGTGTCCAGAAGTCTATTGGTAAGTGGATGTAACACTGACAAAGTGTTACAAGCGTATATTTTTAATTAATTTCATTAACTGTACTTTGTTTCAGACTAGGACATATTAGCAAGTGTCCAATTTAAAATGATCCAGAAGTAAAAAAAAACTTTTACTGAGACAACCCACATTCCTCTAACTTTTTCTATTCCATATTTCTGGGTAGAAAATAATGCTGCTATAACCTAGAAACAAGGAGTGGCATCTAAACTTTTTCACTTTTTATTTGGCAAAGGAAAGTATACTGTTTACACTTAAATGTAAATAAGGAAAGAGTATTGACTAGCTCAGAAAACATTCATAGAAATGCAGTAGAGTCCTGCAAACTCCAGCTATGGATTATTCTTCTTCTTTTAAGCCTTGAGTAATCCACTACCCACGTTTCTAATCATGGGGTGCACGGTTCATCGACTAATCTGCACTCAGAAGGTGATACTGAAAGACTAATCTACTGGCAGCTCTCTGTTAAAGATAGTGATTCATAGAGGTGTACAAAACTCTGCTACTATGCTAATATTTACATTATTATGCAGCAGTTATTGTGGCTGCATTCTCAGTTTTCCCATAATTTCCTCAGAGGAAAACATCAACGGTAACATTAAGCTGGGATACTGAGAAGTAATTTACATTTTCTTTGTGTAAAAAAGGAAGAAAAACATTTTTTTGTTGAATGAAATTTGTAATATTTACCATTCTGAAAAAAAATAAGTTTAAAGAAACTGGAGTTATACAAAAGACTCAGTTTTATTGTAGCATTACTGAAAAACATACTGCTTCCAAAGCCTAAAGTAGCAGCTTCCGAGCAGCACTTGAGGGCAGCATTTCACCGTATCTGTATTTTTAAGAGTTGTTACTATAATGAGATGCAAAATAACTCATTGATACGATCAGTTAAAGATCATAATATATTACCTTCTGCACACAGAGGGTAGTTCAATTTAAATGTTCTTTTCTACAAAGCAAGGCGATATCTCTTGTCCCCACTTAGTGAGATCAGCAAAGTAAAAGCTAAGCTCATTTTGTAATTCTCCCTACTGCTATATAATGGATCAGATTTTGAAGCTGGAATTTTCAGGATAATTAAAGAACATCTCTATATCTATCATAGATGAGGATTTCAGTCACAGGTGAGTTTTTAAGTAAAACGGTATGCATCACATGTTAAGCCGCATCTAATCAGATTAAGACAATACTTTGACTAGGCTACTCCAAAACCTTACGTTTCTCAAACCATTTATAATCTTGCAGGAAAACCTGTATTGGCTTGAGCTTAGGTTTGTAACTAATGGCCACACATTATAGAGGTTCAAGACAGAAGTCCTTGATTATCTTCAGCAGCCCCAGACTATCACACTTATCACAATTTTCTTACTTTTTTGGGCTCATTTATACTGCTTCTTTCTATCTGACAGGTCCTATTTTAGTAATTTGTTGAACATGCAGGTTAGAAGGTAATGGGCCTTGGGTGTAATTGCTGAAACCAGAAAATCTAGTTAATCACATTAAATTCATGATCTAACTAAGGGAGTAATTGCATTTTCAAATGGAGGTATGTTAATTTTGGATATTTTGATAAACAAAAAACAATTTTAAAAATGTTTTGTATATACTAGGGTTATCTTTTTTTGGTTGAGGTTTTTATGGCACTATTGGTGTTTTTTTTTGTACAGTCGACTGACAGAAAAGGGGGTAAGACAGAGGGGGAGAGACATGCGGCAAAGGACCACAGGTTGGATTTAACCCTGGGTCGGCCACATCGAGGACTAAGGCCTCCATACATGGGTCGTGCGCGCTAACCACTGGCCCTACAAGGGTTATCTTTTAATAATAATAAAATAAGTTAGATGATTTGAAACCCCTGAGTGAAACTAAAAACAACAAAGGAGCCAAAACATGTTGATATGCATCCACCTGCACATATATTCACAAGGAAACAGACAAAATCTGTTGATAAATGTAAATATCACACATTGTACAGACAAGCACTCTATTTTTTGATGAGAGGCTGCAATAAAAAAAAAAAAAGTAAAAATGTATTCAGTCCTGATTTAAGGACACCAACAGCTTCTGCAAATCAAATTTTCAGGAAATTTGTTCCAGAGTTCAGGGATATTCACCTTCATTCATCTCTGTTCCAGGGAGCAGTGAGTGAGCAGGTCTCAGAATACCTGAAGGGTCTACATGGTTCATAGCTGACAATCAACTCAGAAATGTATTTTAGTCCAAGATGATTTTGTTCTTTATAAACCAGCAGCCGTTGTTTTAATCTATTCCTTAACAAACATTGAGCCAATGTAGTGATTTAAGACCCGGCATGACAGGATCAATTTTCATGGTGTTGTTGGGAAAAAAAAGGCTTGCCTCAGCTGCTCTGTGTTCTGTTTCAGCTTTTTATCCTAGTAGTGTTCTTAAGATTATAATAAGATAGATCATGGTGTTAACATCTGTATCTCAGTCAATGTATTTATTCCACAACATGTCTTCAGGGGTAACCTCTTTAGGCCAGTTGGTAACATAGGACAGACAAGACAACAACTGAGATATAACTGTTTATCTAGTTACCTTTCCTAACCTATACAAAAACTTAGGAAGACATTGATGGAAAGAGGGTAAAAAAAATCTCCAAGTAGCAAACTTTTCAGTGTGAGACTATGCTAATGCCTTAAAAGACAAATTTATTTGATTATTCCGGATACATGTCTACCAGAGGTAAACCTGGGTGCAGATAACACAAGTTATGCAGCGCTGCATGATTAGGTTTCAGATCTCCTCTGGTACAAATGATAGACCCCACATTTAACGACTTGCTACCTTCCATAACAGATGTGTAAATGGTGCCTGAAGACCAAACATAGCTTTGTATCATCAGTATCTATGGTTCAGAGGCTAGGGTCTGAATGCTGCAGAGCCAGAAAGAAGGCTGGCAGGTGGTACCGACCACTAAATCTTTGATAAGCACAAAACTAAACAAGCTGACTGCCAAGGCGAGATGTGCAGAAGCTGACTTGGCATGAACTGTAAAAAACTGCCACACAGACAAGAGAAGCAAAGAGGATCTGGCACGGAACAATGACAGACAAAAAAAAAAAAAAAACTTCTATCATAGGGAGGCAAATAAAACATGAATAACAGGTTGTTAACCAGAGACGGAGAGCAGGTGAGACGGTGAAGCAGAGCACTGAGTGAACAAAGAGCAGGAACATCAAACAGTAGCTTAAAAAATCCAGATCGACCCAACCAGGACAGGAATTCAACAAAACAGAACAAAATACATCCAAAAGCAAACCCATACTAACAACAATCATGACTAAAACTAGTCACCCTGTCACCTTTCCTCTCTTATGTGTTTTTCTGAGCTATTCATCAAACAGCAGGGGTCTTAAAAGAAGTCAGAACCTCTAAATGTATTTATTATTCTTTCTTTGCTCTTTCTCTCATCTTAATCTCCTAACCCCCTCCTCAGACCCACCCATCTCAGGCATTTTAAACACTCCCTCGATCTTCTCCTCTGATCTGCGTTCTAAGGGAATCACTGGTACCCCTCAATGTGAAAATATCACACTCCCTTCTTTCTTTAATATTTCTCTCTCTGAAACACACCAATTTCTCTAAAGCCAGACAGATAACCTTGCATTTGAAGTGCTAAGAGTGAAAGCTTGAGGATGGGCAAAGAGATCATACTAAAACCACTAAAGGGTTCTCAGATTCATCGTTAAAACCAATTTTTTTCCCTCATGTCTGTAGGATACTCAAAGACACAGCATCATTAACCCTCCTTCACTTAGCTTGATGTGGACACTTGCTCTGAGGGCTTATATAAGTGTATGTTTGATTTGTACTTTGCTGTTCCCCTGGCCAGCCTGTTGTATTCATTCCCTGTGTGTTAGTGCCTGTTTTCCTGTGAGTCACCTTGTATCCTTGGATGAGTCCATTCTGGGTCTCGAGGGGCGGCATGTCCCAGGTCACTTCCAGGCCAGAGGGAGACAGGGCTGACACTTTGATAGACTGAGGCGCCACCGACGGAGCTGCAGCCAGAGAGACGACAGAGTGTTCGGTTACTGCATGGGAGCAGTTGAATGTTAAAAGAAAAGGAAGCAAGTGAAATATGCTCCACCCTTCCCATTAGAATGGGCCTCAGGTAGGACCTTGGTACTCCCCTGTAGCGCATATAAGTATGAACACTCGGCTGTGTGCACCTGAGGCTGGAAGAGGTCCATATCACCTGATTTCATCATTCCCCTCCAGGCTTTTCTGACTCCCCCTCCTGCTATGCTCCTCTATCCTCACCTTTTACTTCTCGCTTTGTGGTATGTGTGGCCTACAAAACCCTGCAAGCACACACTTACGCACAGTACGTTGACGGAGCTTCACACAGGTTATATGAATTCACTAATGCTCCAATGAACTGAGTGGAAGTATTTCAAAAACAATGTACAAATCTGTTTACCTGCATTCTTGTTTGTAGTTTACAGCTGTTTTGCAGTAACTCCTGTGTGTGTGGGATGGGATCTTTCGAACTGAGAAGTGAATATCAAAGAGAGCTGGCTGTGTTTTCCACTCCTAGTTCAAATTTCCAGTGACAGAGAACAAGGCATACCGCCCTAACTATAAAGTACATGACCTTGAGTTTTATTTCAGATGGATATGCATGCATGCACCCCTATTAGAAATCACTGCCGATACTTGAAAATGTAATTTCACTTGAGGGGGTCAATGCCAGAAGGTGGGGGCTGAGAGGACAAAGCACAGTGGGTAGATGAAAAAGAACTAAAATCAGTATAAAATCCAAAATCGTTCTGACCAAAAGTCAGCACGGTTTCTCAGAAGCTTTGAAAACACATCAGACAGTTACATGAAAGGTTGTTGATGAAATTTTTAAAGCTGCTGCTAGATCTGAGCATCCGTCATGGGTGAAAATTCAAGGGGAAAATTATTTTTGGGAGGAAAAAGTCTTGAGTTTCATTATGTCTTTTTTCTCATTTCTAAAAGTTCAAAAACAGACTAAGAATTAGATATCTACATTTTCCATGTAGATATAAGAAACACCAAATTGTTAAATTATAAGTTGTTAATGCTATATAAGCCTATCCTTTGCTTCTTAAAAAGCTTCAACATCTTCTTCATCACCATCTGGTGAACTGCTGCCACCACCTGGGACAACCGCTCTCCATAGATGGTGACTGGCTGCATTCCTCCTTTTGAGGAATGCAGCCAGAAATAAGAGCATTTTCCCTTGATTTAAGCGAGTTAGTAGGAAAACTTACTGGAATAAGATTATTTATGTTTATAAAAAGAAATAATAAAAAAAAAAAGATATATATATATATATATATATGTATATATATATATATATATATATATATATATATATATATATATATATATATATATATATATATATATATATATGTATAAAAAACGGTTTTCTGACCCTCTTGGGGTGGTATGTGTCATCCTCAAGCTCGGGTCCTCTACCAGAGGCCTGGGAGTTTGAGGGTTCTGCGCAGTATCTTAGCTGTTCCTAGGACTGCGCTCTTCTGGACAGAGACCTCTGATGTTTTACCTGGAATCTGCTGTAGCCACTCTCCCAGTTTGGGGGTCACAGCCCCCAGTGCTCCAATTACCACTGGCACCACTGCTGCTATTACTTTCCACATCTTTTCTAGCTCCTCTTTCAGCCCTTGGTATTTCTCAAGCTTCTTGTGTTCTTTCTTCTTGATGTTGCTGTCGCTTGGGATTGCCACATCTATCACTACTGCCTTGTTCTGCTGTTCGTCGATCAACACGATAACTGGTTGGTTAGCCATCATCTGGATATATATATATATATATATATATATATATATATATATATATATATATATATATATATATATATATATATATATATATATATATATTTATTAAAATTTTTTTTCTAAGGCTGTCGGCTTTAATGCATTAATCACAGTTAATTAAAAAGAATCCTTTGCGGGTTTATTTTTAAATCACGCTTCAAATGTAATTCTTTTTGTCCTTTTGACTACCCTGTAGTCAGCCTTTTTTCCATTTTGTGACTCTGTAAAATATGATGGAGTAAGAACTGAGTTTAAACAGAAAAAAAGAGCTCAAGAAAAAAAAAAAAAAATCAAAGAATGATAAATTCAAACATTTTTCATTTAGCACCATTGCTCTCACAACAGTTTTTTGTCACCCAGAACCAAATGCTGTTGTGCTTGGAAAGCGTCATGTCTTCATGACAACTGCTTCAAATCCAGAAGCACTGCCTCTGAAAAAGTAACAGAGGTTAATGGATAAAACCGTCATGATGGAGACTGAGGTTCGCCGTTTTTTTATAGCTCTCTCCTTTTTTTTCCTATATGATTGCATGAACAACTATTTGCAAACAATAGTGAAAATAAAGCACGGCTGTGGCTTAAAAATAATATTCTGTCACACTGGAGACGCCTAAAGAAAATATCTGCCCGATGCAGGAGAAGATGCAGATTAATGCTCTTTAACATGCTGCATGAAATCCTCATCTGGAGCAGATACCAACGATGACAAGGTAATTTATGCCCGTTATATGTGATTATATTATCGCACGAGAGTACAGTTGTTTTCAGTGATCAACTACTGCACATCTCTTCTAGTTTAATGTGCATTAAAGTCCAATTGTGCTTTCATACTGTAGTGACCCAATGTGGACCAAAGCTGCAGGTGTAAAAAAAATATTTTTTTATGGTTTTATTGTTAATTTCTGAAGTATCTTTAGAGAGAGACCTGATATCCTATTTAATCTTTCAATGTCAGCACAGTGTTACTTTAATTCCTCTTAATATTTGCAATTTGGTAGGGAATAAACTTTTTTTTTTTTATTAAAAAGGTCAAAAAAGAAATTCTATTTGTTTTGTTTTTTTAATTCCCACTGAAGACTATGGTTAAATATTGTATATTATGAGTTTAGAACTATTTAGACCTATTTTAGACATGTAATCCAAACTGCAATTAATTGCAATTAACTGTGAGGCTTCTGTAATTAATCCCAATTAAAATTCATTGTTTGACAGCCCTAATAAATATACATATTCTTTTTTTCAATTATATTATAAAACTGCAAAATATGTAGTCATTTTTTTGTTTACCCACCTGCCTCTCCAACAGACACCTCGACTGGAGCAGACGGAGGACTCTCCCCAATGATGTTGTAGCTTGTCATTACAATCTGATAACGTTTGAACTTCTTTAGTTCTGGAAACAAAACAAAAAATAAACGATTTAACAACATATCTACTGGACAGAAGATTAAATACAACACAGTTCTAGGCAGACTTCTAGTTGGCATGAATGACATTAAAATTGTTAGGCTTTCAATTCATCTTTTGAAGATTTTTCTAAGGTGTAATGAAGACTTGACTTACAGCTTTAGTGCAACACTTCAGTGGTTGAGTGTAAATTCATAGAGGGCTTTTACATGGACTCTTCTACATATATTTAAAGAAATAAATATTCCTTAAATAGATAAATATCCCTTAGCAAAAGGCACGGAAATCAACGACTTTTAGGAGTTATCAACAATCTGCTGGTGTTATTCTGACAGGATCATAACAGATAATGGTTCTTCTTGTTAGAATTGGAGGACTTCATATAAATAAAGCTGGTTTCCTTCAACAGGCTAAACTTCTCAAGCACAGTCCGCACATTTCCATAGGGTTGAAGTTAGAGTAATTCCAAAATCTTATTGTTAATTGTCTTTGTTTTTGTTTCATGCCCTGGCATGATGTGGAAAATAGTCAATCTATGTCTCAGCTATTTATAAAACTTCGCTCTCAAACAACACTTTCCGTATAGGCAGCTGTAAATCGATATTAGATCAGGGGCATTGTTTTTTTTTAAAACTGTGACCACTAACACTTATGATTCAGTAGCTTTAAGTTCATGACAGGATTTAGCCGTTTAAGTTCCTGGTTTGATCCTGAACTTCATAACCAATATCTTGTAATCCGAGGGTGAAATATTGGATGAGATGATTGAAACTTGGAAACTACTGGGTACACCTACAGAATAATGATACCAAACCCAAACTGATTTTGGAGTGAGAGGATAGATGAAGCACCAAGCCTTTCAAGTGTCATCCCTAAAAGCTCCAACATCAACCCTACTACTAGTGCTCAAACTTCCTTTCAGGAAAGTAAGATATTTATATCAAATTAATCAATATTAAGAAATATGCCAGTGACATTTTGATGGCCAAACAATTTCTCTCTAATTCAAAAGGCCTTTTAACCAAATATTAGTGGGGGTGTACAGAACCTTGTTTAATTTTCACCCTGTGAAGGATAAGAAAGTTAACATTAAACTAAAACGTTTCTACACAGTTCTAGTTTTTAAACATTACTGTAGCAGTACACTGGAATATCATTCACCAGAGAACATCAGCAGATCAAACATTAAATTAAAAACTGCAAATGAATATTCTTTCCATAGGAAAGATTAGTGTATGTAAGATTCTGACTTCGACTGTAGGTTGGTCGATTTTCTAACTTACGTGTCAGCTCGAACTCTGTGAGCGAGGCGCTGCTGACTGTCTTGAAGGTGCTCTTAGCTATAGAGGAGTGAAAGAAAGACAGATGAAAAAGAAATCAATTGTGCTTTGGGTTTAACAATAAACTGCTCAATTATAATGTCATTTAATAGAATCACTGTATTGAAGAGGAAAACATTTCAAATCTGTTTTTTTTCCTTTTCGCTCCACTATTTTTAAACGACTCTTTACTTTAGAGCGGGTATAAAATTGTCCATCAATCTATAACTGCAGACATATAGCTGACTATAGTCAACATCAGGCTGCCCAAAGCATAATCACATGTTATTACTGTATTGTAAAGGTGCACTAAGGGTGGGCTTGTGAAAAATAGCTGCTCACTGATGGTTGTATAGAAACTCAACTAATGGGTTTTTCTTTTCTCTGATGCACTTTAAAGATAATAATCAATAGTAAACCGTAAACCCATGAAGCTACATAAAGGATATATATATATATATATTTATATATATATATAAAGGTAAGTTACTGTGTGGGGCTGAAAAAAAAATAAAAATAACAGGCAGGAATTTCACACAAAGACAGATGACCAAAGAGCATTTTATAATACAGAGGAAAACATCTATTACAACACAATCTAACTGTTAAATTACACCTCACTGAATTAGTGGGGGGAGGCTTTCCGATGTTTTTTTTTCTCCTAACATTACATCTTGGAAGCTCTCGCTTCCAAAGAAGCGCCAGGAGTGTCTAACCAACTGATCAAATGAGGACTCAGAAAAACACGGCTTACATTATTTGTCAGAGACCCCAAATACAACCTTTTTGTCCTCCTTTAGTTGTTATTCAATCTCTGAGGCTGCTTTCATAAACCAACCTTTCCAAAACTGAAAGGTCATTATTTTATTCAATAAGAAAATAAAGTCTTAGTTTATCAAAAATTTAAGTTATAGCTAAATCTTTAAAAAATTTCAAAGGTTTATTAAATTCCATAATAGAATAATTAGATCAATCAAATAAGCATTACCATATCCAATGTAGTGACATCATTTCAAAAACACTGTACATCTGCTTGTATCATTCCTATCAAAATGTCGATATGCACAGCCTTTTTAAGGGACCAGGAGAAAAAGCAGCACTTTTATGTGTGCTTTTTATATGTGCTTATGTTTTATATGCTACACTTTATGGAATGGAAATTTTCATTTACTGTCTGAAAAGCTGTACTAAACAAAATTTCATTTTGGATACACTCTGTGTCTACAAAATGACTATAAATGTTTTCTAAGTCTAGGTTTTTGGTTAAAGGTCACATTTGAGGTGTTCATTTGTACTACAAAGCAGTTTTCTTTAAAATTATAGCATTAGAATCAAGGCTATAACAACATTCAGATGTCCTGGTGGTTAAAGAAGGACAGAGCTTAACTCTTTGAAGGAAAGGTACTGGGTGGTGATCAGTGCAGGTCAAGCTGGGTAGTAAAAAAATCAGTCTTGCATGAAAGTAACAAAGATATTGGCAGACCCCCCCCCCCCCCCCCCCCCCAGTAAAAATATTATTTCAATTAGATCTGAGAAGTTGATCAAGGCTCTCGTGGTTAGATAGATAAAACATGAGCCAAAGATCTGGAGAAAATAAATCTTTATACAGTAGATGAAAGGTTAAATGAAAGATGTACAAAAACACAGCTGGTTTATTCAAAACACAGCAGATCTACTCACTTGTAATGAGGGCACTTGTGGTAATATTTTTGGTTGTCTGGCCTCCTACATTACTGACAGCGGACACATTTGCAGGGAGCTCCCTGTAATACAGTCTGTATCCAGTCAGGACACCATTAATGCTGTCTTCAGTGGGGCGCTGGAAAACATGCAAACCAACACACACACATGCACAGACATTAGTAATAAACTTGCTCAAAGAGAACTTCTGAGCCTATTATAATTTTTCAGCTGAGCTCGTTTTTTCTGACAGACAGGACAAAGCGAGGGCCAGCAGAACTGTATTTGAGCCGTTTTTTATTAGTCATCCAATTTAAAGGGTTGGAGTATTGGTCTTGCAGTAACTTGCAAACGGGGGAAGTGATGCTTCAATAGGTTTGGCACTCTTGTAAAGGGTGATGAAATTGCTGGTGACTTTGTGTTTTCATTGCCTCTTTTTGCTTTGACATGAGGCTACAAAGATGATAAAAGACATTTACAAACCGAAGAGAAAGAGAAGCAAGCTGTAAAATACTCAGAAGGAATCTACTGTCTTTTCCTCTTTCTGTCTATTTCCTGCGTTGCTGGATTGACTGCTGAAGGCCCCTTTAAACCTATAGCATATCGCCTGCAGGTATTTAACCATTAAGAGTTAGACAACTCTCCCCTGTTAAAGAATGTCCATGGCTCTATTTCTCCTTCCCTCCATCCCTAAATCATATCCCTGCTACTCTGACATTTTCTGCTTTAATAAATAATGACAATACCAATGCAAACCACAGCTTTTTCAAACATTACAAACTCTGACAGGGTGCGCCTTTCAAAGGGAATAGTGAACTATATGTTTGAGAGTTTTATCTGTGTTTAAGTGCATTACCTTCCACTGCACCATCACTGAGGTAGTAGTTGTTGGTTTTACTGAGAGGATTACTGGAGGGTCATTAGGCACTAGAAAGAAAACAGACCAGAAGTGAACGTGTGAATGTGTGGAATAGATAGAACATCTATTCGGATTTTAGTTCTCCCTTTGTTTTCTGTTTATATTTCAAGCAGATTCTTACCATCCTGCAGCGTTGTAACAGCTTCCGTCTCCTTGCTGAGGACACTGTCGCCTATGTCATTGGTAGCTAACATTCGAAACTTGTATGATGTGAAGGGCTTCAGTCTAAACATTTAAACAGACACAAAATATAGTAATTGTATTGGAATGAAGCTATAAAGGGATTTCTAAGTCACATTTTGGCTAATTTAAATCCAAATGCCTGAATGTTCTTTTTGAAAACCTGAAATACCTGTTGCATTGTCATGCATAATTCACAACACTTATTTCAGTTTAATTACCCACTGTGAACCATTTTATTTGTCAACAATTAGAGGTCTCTTGTCCTTTATTAAATTTGTGCATAAATTAGCATTCTGGCAAACTAACATGGCGTGGGTTGATGAGATAAGAGAAAATAAAAACAAATATTGTAAAATGTCGTTTACAATGGTCTACCAAGACAGGCAACAAACATTTACAAGAACAGAAAAGGAACAATTTGCTGGCAGCCATCAGCTTATTAAATCTCCCTGATGCTCAGAGAAACTAAAACAGAGAGGATCAGAAATAATCAGCTAAATTATGTTTATAAATATTACAAAATGTTCATTTAAATCAGAGCAGAGACTCTTGGCTTAATTACACTAAAGGATCAGTGACTGTTCAACTACAGGCTAAGCAATTAAGAGCAGGAACTAAATTCTCTAATAAAATGCTGATTTTGGGTTAAAGATAAGTAAAAGAAACAGGCAATATACAAATCATTTACAACCATTGAAGGATAATATACCTATGCTGAGGCAGACAATTGACATTTATCTAATTAAAACAAGTTTTAAAGGAATATGCACCAAATTTGAGCATTTATATTTGAATATTCCAATGTATAGTTGGACTAAACCTAAATACTATCATCTAACACTAAAAGAGATTGTTAGAGACAGAGACCTTGGGAAAAAATACATTTTGTAAAACCACAGAATGAGCATTTTTAATTCTGTCTTGCATTTATTAAAGCAATGGAAAACATATTACAAGTAATTAAATGATGTATGCACTTGCAAAACATTTATTTTAATACTTTAAAAAATATATTTGTAATATGTGAAGGATAAACTCAGGGCTTGATTGTATCAGTAAAGCATGATAACATTGTTGATTAACTCAACCCATGTTTTTTCCCTAATCTCCGTCTTTTTGATATCACACAACATCCACATCTTTGGTGACATCAAGCATATAGGTCACATCAATGGTAGAAATAAAGGTAAAATAACTTAATTAAACTAGTTAAATAAGTCTTTGGCATGCAATGCCCAAATATCAAAATATACGGCTTAATAAGTCGCCAACATCGTGGTGACATACTAACTTTTCTTCAGTTTAGTTTATTCCATAAATGGGGAACAAACTCCCAGAAAGCTGTAAAAGCGCAATTATTATAATTTAAATCAAGATTAGTAAGCATTTGTTTAGAGGTCTTTGACTGTGATAACGAAACATTATACGTTGTTTTGACTTTCATTCCTTTTTCTTTATTAATTTATCTTTTAACATTTTAATATCAGTAATTTGATAAATTTTTAATATAATCCTCTTATTCTAATAGATCGCTTTTATTCTATATTTTATGTTGCCTCTATGCCACTAAACTGTACTTTTTTCGATTTTCCTCACTGGCAGCAAAAATTATTTTGCCACTGAAATGTGCAATGTCTAAACTTACCCTGCTTTAACTGATCTTTATGTAAATCACACTTGTTGTGTTCTGGCACTTAAATGTAAAATTCCCTTTTAACTCTCAGCACCAAATTCATTTTATTGATGGACTGAACTACTGCAGTATTGAACACCTGTTTGCACCTTCTGTCTCTGTTTAAAGGAAAAGTCTGGACATATTCAGCATTAAAAGATCTGAAAGTACTTTAAATATAAAATTAGTACATATTGCTAGATAAATGATAAGCATTTTGATTAACAGTAATTTAATTTGTCTGTGCTTTACTGAAGATATCTTTATTTGTCAAAGAACACTACTGCCACCTACCGGTTTGTGACGTCACAGTGCGGTACCGGCTGTTGATCAAGTCCCAGTGCTTTATCTGGTGTTTGTTACAACTCGCTATTATCCAAGTCATCTTGAAAACATTCTTCTTCTAAATGTTGGCTACATATCATGTGTTTTTTCTCTGGCCAGACGTTCAATGGAAAATCCTCCCTCATCAAGTTGTCAATCTAACAATCAGGACTGCAGTAATCCGTCCGTGGAGGATCATGAATCGGAAAGGTGAAATAACCAATTTTTCTTTTTACTTTTACCCAGCGTATTACAAAATCAAACTGCCATGCATGTGGGCATTGTCAGTTAAACTATAGCTCTTGCGAATTTCAATGGTGAAGTCGTCTGGAAATCTTAAATAAAGGCTTAACGCGCCGTGACGTCACTGCTGGAAGATGTCAGGGTGAGGTTTCACTATATGTGGGCAAAAATGGACGGTCCTGGACTCAGTGATTGTGAAAAAAATTATTATTTTTATTTTTTTACTGATCAACGCTAAATTCATTAAATCAATGTGGACATATTACTTCAAGGTATAGATAATCATTCATCGATCATTCCTTGCTGACCGGACTTTTCCTTTAAATGTTTTTGAGTGCCTTATTCACTTCATGGTATGGAATATCCCAGCCCCCACCATCAGCCAAGAGCAAAAAAAGAGTAAATGATATGAAATGTGGAGGATATGCAGCAAAAGCATTCATTTATTTAAACAGAATTAATAATATGGTCTTTGATAATTTATCTCTAAAGTTCTCTTTCCACTGCTGGAAATTATTTTCCTATCCCTAGAAGGCATTTCTTCAAGTCAAAAAGAAAAATGAACTGCTTACTGAAACAGGAAACAAGGGTTTAAAACTCAACTCAATAGCTTAGATAAACATTTCTCCAAAATAACCTTCTCACCTTCTTTCAGACATGTTTTGCTCTTTTAATGGCCTTAGAAGACCACAGAAGCGCTTGAATAACAATTAGCCTTCACCTTTTCTAACCGTCTCCAGTGTCACTGTGGTTTTACTGCAATTTTCAAACAACATCTGCATTTCTCCTCTATTCAAGGTGAAGGATTTAATGAGCCCAGAATAACAAAACATATCAGCCAATTTGAAAATACTTAACTCTAGAGACCCTTAGTATCAGGATGATAAAAAAAAAAAAGCAAATCACCATGAAAGCATTATCTCTTCACCTCCACTCCACTCAAATGAAGGTGATTTAAATCTTTAGAGAACTGGATATGAGAGAGAGAGAATGCAATATCAGCATCGGACCCAAATCTAATGTAACTGCTGGACGTGATACCTGATGATACTGATCCACTCCACAGACCTGTGTAACTGAATAATTTGTCTGATTTTATTTTGAAAATGTAAGTCTACAGTCATAAATTTAAAATGGTCTAAGTTAATTGTATATGAAGATTTCCTTTCTATATTTGTCAGATCATGCATACAAGCAACAGTTGGCACAAAGCCCATTGCTACGAAATGCTGCTAACCAAGCACAGCCTTCTTTCTAGATGTTGTATTTATAGTAATGCAAATAGACAAGATCTTTCTTGTTAAAAATGTAGGCTTGTTTTTGCAGTAATACATTCAGGAGCGGACCAACACATTGCTTTAAGAATCAGCAACCTGGAGACTAAACAAGTTGAAGAAAGCTGCTTTATCTTATTTCTTTTATCTTCAATCCTGCATATACAAATATTCATGTAGGAACAGGCAGTTCCTATATTGTATTATCTACAATTAAGAAGGAGGGGGAAAGCTGCTATGGTTGGAAATGCAAACTTGTATCACTGGTGCTAATTGCAAATAAAGATCTGGATTGCCAACATTATATCCTCTTGATTTATCATCAGTAAACTGGTAATGTCTTGCAGCAAAATGTGGTCTCTGCCCATGATTAATTAGCTATAATCTACAACAGAAGGATTCTTCAGGTGGCACTGTTATTGCCTTGCTTTTTTGCAGCCTTTCAAAATATTTTTTCAATCGATATTACATTCAGACTATATGCCTCAACGCCATCACTTTTAATAGCCTAGGATTCAAATCTAGCAGCTCTGCAGTTTGAAATTAATTTATGCATGAGAAATTCATTTTTATTTAGTTCCCATTCTATAAATCTGCAAAATAAAAGCACAAGTTATGTGGACAAATTGCTCTTGTTTGGGTTGACAGTCCCTCCGTGTTATTTATCTATATTAGCTATTATAACAAAATGGCAAAAAGCTACAAAACTACATCCCAAGTTCTGTATATTACATAGAGCACCAATCAGTCATCTTAAAGCGGAAAATATGTGAGGCAACTGTAAGCCTTGGACTTTAACTTAGCCGTAAGGTTAAACAAGAAAGAGACTTGACATTTATGGAAGAGAAGCGAGAAGAATGCCATGCTAAAAGTGACCAATCAGAAGTCCTGTTTTCTTCATGTTCCACCATAACGCATGTAGTGGCTGGATTATGTGTCTTGCAGGACCACCCTGGTTTTAAAGGCTTTAAGCTTGCAATGATTAGACAAACACACAGACAATGGATTAGTACACATTAAGAAAACTACTAAAATAGCCCAATTAAAGTGTGGACTTAAATTCAATTGAAAATTGCTGTTTTCACACATTCATCATCCAGTCTGTCTGATTTTTACAGTGTTTGGCAACTAAAAAGTGGGTAAAACCCCTTATTGAATATCCAAAGCTGCAGGTCATGTCCATTAAAATAAATACAATGTATTTAAAGAAAGTCCAAATGATTAAAAACTACCCTGAATTATACACTTGAAAATAAAAAAATAAATATACTAATATTTAAATTTGGATATCTATTTAACACTCTCAATAAAATCTGACACAAAAACTGGTAATTAAAATATTATAAAAGTATAAACCCAGCTCACCTACTGGAATTGCTCACATATTATAAACAAACAAAGTAACTCCAGTTAGTCAGCTAGAACATTATCCTAAATGATTTTTTTTACAGAGCACCCAGGGGACTACAGAAGACCAGGCAGAAATTCAGCAGGCATCAACTGGGGAGAGGTGTCCTCTATAATTATGAGCTCGGCTCATTGAGGGACCAGAAATGCCCTGTCGATTTGTGTACAAAAAAGGAATAGAACATCAAAGACACCAAGCTTAAACTAGGTGGGGCGCCAACAGCACTGGGAGGATGTTAAGGACAATGTTTGAAGATGTATGTTTGAAAAGTATGTATGCAAGCCTGGGGGGGCATGATGTTTTGCTTCCAAAGTTTTGTGGAAACAACAATTAGTACTCATAAAGAGCAAGTATGAGTGAGCATGTAGAGATGCAAGTTAATTCCTCCATCCGTCACAGCAAAGAGAGCTGAAAAATGGCATCAAAACAACAACTGCGGCTCCACAGTGATGGCAGACAGACTGTCCCTGAGGCAGGTCGAAACAGACACACTGAGAGAACCCACTCCAGCATCTCAAATAGCTCTGTGATAGCTCCAAAAAGAGCCCGCTTAAACAGTCACGAGGAACACTCCGAACACTGGTAAAAAGTCATCACAGCCCCTCTTCTCTGGCTTTGTCAGCAAAGTTAGAGCAGCCATCCCACCTGACCGATGCTGGCTGCTGCCTTAATGACACTATCATGGAAAGCGGAAGGACAGGGATGGGAAATGGAAGAGACATTAAGGCTGAAGCCCCCTTCAACTGGCAGAGCAGCGGTGATGCTTGTAGTAAAAAAAAAATGCATGGCTGATGGTTTCTGAAAGCTAGAACTGTTGATGGATGGAGGGAGAAAAGGAAGGAGACGGTGACAACAATAGGGTTGACAGGTGAAAAAGCAAAAACAGTTCTAGCACGGACAGGACACACAGTCAAGCTTAAAAGCTTGGAAGCGGGCAGATATAGATGAAAAGACGATTTAAGTAGAAGTCAGAGCAGTTCCTGCTATGCCTAGATAATAGATGACTGACTTCCTTCCCGTTTATGGTGTAATCATGATCATTTTACTCCAAATCTTTCCTCTTTCTTTGTGGGAGATTTTTTATACTTTCTACTAATACACAACTATTTCTTTACTGTCCAGTGCAACAAAAGGTTGCAAAAAGCTTTTCACAGACTATTTAAACCAATATGTGGTTCACACATGAAAGGATCATTCAAAGAAACATTTTCATATTTATGTTCACGAAAATCCCAGCAGTTAGTTTCAGTTTGCTGTCCTATCCATGTTGGCCATTTTGCAAAGTATTCTTGAGAGTCCTATTTCATATTGTACAATACAAAGCATTGCAAATTTACTCAAACACTTTTAGGGAAAAGAAACCTGTTTCTTCTTCATTGAGTTAAAAGGTTTGGATTGTATTTGAATTATGAATCACCTGACTTTAATATGAAGTCACTGGCAGAACTCGGCAGAGCTTGACTGCTTGCTAGTGAGGTGGTTTAACCATTTGATTCATGTGTGTATCACAAGGGACACGTCTAAAAATGCAGCACAATGGCCCCAGAGGATTTGAGTTTCAGACCACTGCTTTACCATCATTAATTTTGTTATTTATTTTGAATATCCAGAAAAGATGTTGTTACCCCAATATTGCTTATAAATAAATAGTCAGCAAACTGGTTTCTCACGCCCAACTTTAGGAACTTTAAATCAAAGCATATGCATGTATTCATAGTTCAGTCAAAGTCTAAACCTCCAGTTGAAAATATGTAACATATGTTAAGAATTGCTATTCTCAGACATTCTCCATCCAATCTTAACATAATAAGCTGCGATTTTGGGCATCAGTGTTTTAGCATATCACCTTTCTTCAGTTTCTTAACTTATTTCTGTCAAGTGCCTTAAGATGGCACATGTTGTTAATTTTACTATATAAATAAACTGAAATTTATAAATTTTGAGCTTTGCACTTTTAGAGCTATTTCTGTAAGATCTCTGTTAGATATTTTTAATTGGTTAAATAATTTCATTGTGTCTTAGTTCAGTCTCAGCTGCTCCTCACAATTCCCTGATTTAAACCTCCTGCAATTTATGCCATTCTCCAGTTTTCCCTCAGTATTTATGCTCACTGGTTGTCTTTGACCATTGGTGCATTATTTCATTATACTGCTTAGTTTACTCCGTTACACTTCCCTGCTACTCTGCCCATGCTTCAAGACCTGGTCATTCTGGGATTCCTCCTAGAAGGGTCCTTTGATTTTACTATTCAAAAACTTTTTCATCTCAGGTAGTATGTACATGTGTGTCCCTCGCAAATCAAAACATGATAATGAGTCTAAATCAACTTCAAGTCATTTAACATCCAAGGATCTGACTTGCATTCCCAGGTTAAAGACAAAAATCTACAATAGAGTGTCATAGTCAATAAAGTTAGATTTTTCAGTTTATACAACACATTGTTGAACACACTCTAAACCATTTAGCTCCTTCAACTAACATAAGGTTATGTGTTTTAATGTGATAAACGCTTCCGTACCTGTCGACTGTCCAGGAGGTCACATTGTGTGGGATGTCGGCTGTGTGGGTCTTCCATGGTCCGCTGGGCAGCTCCTTCAGCTGCAAAGTGAAGTACCTCAGTGGAGAGGAGCCTGAGCCACCAGTCACCCAGTAGAGGTGAAGCTGGCGAGCTTCAACCTCATCTTGAGGGACGGACAGCTTCCTGGGTGGCTGGGGACGCTCTGCACATGTGATGAAGAAGAAGAAGGAAACAAATCAGGAGGATGAATATGTTCCTTTATTGGATTTTGAATTCATATTAAACAACAAAAAAGGTGGTATAAAACAGCTGTAACAGTACATCCCAGGACTAAGATTCTAATTTGGTTTTATTTGGTTATACAAATGATTTTCTCTAAATCCATTTAGCTTTAAAATGGGTTTTCTAGTATTTTTATTTGGTTAATTTTTTTCATACTTTGGTTACTTTTTAGGCCCAGCATTCAAAAACGCCATAGTACGGTATTTATTAAATTGTGCATATATGAAAAATACAACACAAGACGCCTTTTTCTAAACTGGCTCAGTTACAGCTGGTTTTTACTGAGCAGTAGCAAAAAACAATAAACATTTCACAAGAGTTTGGAAGGCTTACAAAAATACCTGATAAACCTGGAAGGTATATATTTATGATTTTAGCATGATTGAGTTAGCCTATAAACACATACATTTTCTGTTAGGTATAGTTTTCCCCTTTTAATCCCTATTTTTTTACCTATTTTAGTCGATTTAAAGTATTATCTGTAATAAACTGGTCCAGCCATATTAGAATAATAAGAATATTAATTCCACTGATGCTTGTTTGACATAATAAACAGAGCTTGTAGAAAACAAAAACTTTAAGCAGGTATTAAACCTTCTTCTCATTAAGCTCCAATTGCTGTATTAGAGAGGTTTATTTAAATTGGTAAATGTAATTTTCTAATCTTAAATGTTGTATTTTCAAAAGATTTTAGAGGAAAAATCATCACACTTCACTGAATGACCGAGATCTCCATTAATGCTTTACTTATAGAATGATTTCCAAAACACCAAGGTTAAAATTATTCGTAAAACATAGTCAAATTAACTTTAGATATAACGGCTTCCTATTATCCATCCAGGGTAACTTCTCCTATTCAATTGACATTTCATGAATCTCCAGAAAAGAAAAGAAACAAAAACAAATGTAAATGTATGAAAAGAACACCATGACAACTGGAGCGAGCAGATTTCATCAGTGATGATGAGCAGTGAGCCCTGCAAGTATCAGTCAATGACTGAATCCATAATGGTGTCAATGTTTATCGCAGCCTACCATCTGGTTTGTCATTACACAGAGCAAATTTGAAGCTCTTTGAATTGAACTTTTAAAAGCTTTTGGTTTTTGTGAATAACTATAAAGGAAATCCATCTTTCATCATCAAATTGTTGTACAACTGTTACTGAAAAAAAACAAACATATAAATATTAATAAATATTAGCTCTTAAAGCATAATTTAAATGGCTTTTACAACTTTTAATAAGCTACATCTCAATACATTCTAAAATGCTTTAGTATAAAGGTCCCTTACGGTGCAAGCAAAGTGGTGTATATCAAGAGTTAATGCTGAGAAAATAGGTAATATTGCCTCACAGTGATTGATAAACATGGTTATGGTATTACTTATGCACTCTGTTAAAGGGTCATATAGACTGTTCTGTTGCTCAGTTGTCATGTCAAGTCATTCTTTTAGCTGAAACTAAAATTTGTATCATACTTTCATATCAAAATCAAATTTTTTATATTAGCTTTTGTCTTCTTTTAATGTGTTAGGATGTATTGGTAAGCTTTACTAATATCTTTCCATTATGTTTTTACCTGCATGCAAAGCATAAAAGGATAAGGGACCTAATTGTTACTGTGTTTTGCTTTTTTTTTGCCTAACCCAATGTCTCATTTTGTTTTGCCACTACTTGCCTTTATTAGGCAGTTTTGTGACAAGAAATGGTTTTAGAGATTGGGAGAACATACTGCAAAGGTCCTGTACTAAAAACGGGGACAGCTGCATCATTGTATTAAGGTAAAGTCATATTCTGATGTAAAACCTTTTGAAATGGCAACAAAAACCACTAATGTACAACCATCATTTCAGTATTTTTCCACATTCAGTTCCATTAAATTAATTTATAGAAACAGAGAGACTTCAGGTGAAAAAGATAAGCATATTGATGGCATCAGCATGCTTTGGGAAAACGAAATAAAAATGAAAAGAGTTTAATACATCTTCTGATATATCCAGAAAAAACATGACAAGCAAACAAACAAATCAAAAAATATTTTAGATGGTCCAAAAGACTTAAGTCAGGATCTGCAGGTCAGATTATGGTTTTAAATTTGGTTTGTGCTTTTCCAGCCTATTGAATTTCGTCACCTATGTTTTACTATATTCTGTTATTTTTGCAATTTGGGATTTGTAAAATAGGTTCTGTTTGCTTACTGTTTGGCAGGTATTGCCTTGTTTATTTCTTTGTATTGTTTTGTATTTTTCAATTCAAAAAGTCATTTTGAATTGAAAAAGCTTCCTGAATGGATTTATTCCATTTTCTTGTGTCTCCTCATTTTTGTCTATGTTTGCACCTGTTTTGCCGACTACATAAAAGTTCAGTTTGTTTTTATTATCAGTTTAGCTACATTTCTCCATGCTGTTTTTTTTTCTCTGTAGGTTCATTGATATTCAGTTGAAAGACTCAAAAATAGCTTCTATCTAAGCTGACTGAGCTTGGGCTATTTTACAACATAGAGTGGAAAGATTTTAGATGGTGGTGAATTTCTTCCTAATATTGGTGGCTGTGACTGCAGAAAAGGAAAATATGCATGGGTACTGACTTGGAAATTTTTTTGTAAGAATGTTTAAACCATGAAGTGGTGCCCTATTGGTTAGAGAGGAAAATATTCCTAGTAGGCCTTCAAGATTACTGGTTGTACTATTTTTTCGTCCCTTAATCTTAGATCGTCCCTGAGTACTGGTAGCAACCCACTGCTCCATAAGGGATGGTTATATGTGGAGATAAATGTTCCCTGCAGTGGATTTATCAAAATATATTTCTGGGCCTTTTATTTTCATTTCACAGTCTTCTTTTTACTGGTATTATTTGAGCCTTTTCTGATAATTTTTTATCATATCTATGCAGATGATGTCCAGCTGTTTGTATCTTTGAAACCATATCAGCTCTATAGGATGTCCACGCTCATGCAATGTTTATCTCATATCAGTGAGTGATTTTTAATCAACTTTCTGGTTTTAACACAGATGATAGAAACACCTTGATAATTGTGTCAAGCCACCCACATGCAAAAATCAATCATACAGTTGCTTTTTTTGCCCAGCAACCAAATCCAAAATATATATATATATATATATATATATATATATATATATATATATATATATATATATATATATATATATATATATATATATATATATCTAGAGGTCAGTTTTGATGCTTTATGAGGCTTTGACTTGCACAAGTAATGTATTTATTCTTCCAGTTAGTTGGGAGTGTTGGTCTAGTGGGTCAGAGCAATGTGCTTGTGCTCTGGGAAGATTGCAAGTACCTGGTTTGATCCCCCATTACCTGCGTTCTGGGTCCCTGTGCAAGACCCTTAACCTCTGATTGTGCCGCACAGTGGCAACTCACTGCTCTCCAAGGGAATGGATTAAATGCAGAAGTGAATTTCTCCATTGTGAGATAAATTAATTTTTCTTTCCTTTAAGAAACAACTCTCAAATATGACAAATGGACTCCTAAGTAGATCTAGGAAACATCTTTCATCTACTTGTGTCATTCCGCTTAAGGCTAGCAAAATACCCATTTTATAGGCCTGGACATATCTTTAAGCTATCCAGAGCACAGCAGACGGTTATACTGAGTCTAGTAAATTCTCGCATATCACTCAAGTCTTACACTCCTCACACTGGCTTTCAGTGGATTTTAGAATTTGATTCAAAAGTCTTGTTCTTACCTATATGGCTCTAAATGGCCATGCTCCTAGCTATTTGTGTCGGCTTTTAAAAAAAGGGCTCTGCCCCTTGCAGCCATCGATTCTAAGCCACAAAATCTCCTGGATGTTCCTTCTACGATACTGAAAATTAGGTCTGTGGCTCCTAAACTGGGAAACAGTTTACCCCTGCAGCTTCGCTTTGCTGCATCGGAGAAAAAGAAAACAAACTGAAAACTGATTTGTTCCACCAGCCTTTTATGTCATGATTTTAATGTATATCTATTGAATTTCTTTTTGTATTACTTTTCCCAGATGTTACCTTACTGCACAGTGCTTTGTGTCTGTGAAGCATGACTTATAAATAAATGTTATTTATTTTAATTTCCCCTTTACATCTATGCTCTAAACTTTGCTGGTCTATAGCATAACATCCCCAAAAACCGTCCAGTTTCTGGTTGCAGAATAACAGTTCATGGCACATGAGCACTTTATAAAGGGCTGTATGTGACTGTCAGTGTGTCTTCTGTGGATTAAGATTTAAGTGAACCAAGACATTTAATTACTTGAACATCAACAAAACTATTTCTCAGCATGCTGCCAGTCTGTGCATGTGTGTATTTCTTTGTATCCTCACTTTTCAATTATAAGATGAAGGATGGCTCTGGGAGTCGCTATCTTTGTACAGCTGTGTTAAGTGATAAGTAGACCTCAAATCAAACTCTATACAAAAAAAAAACACAACATGAGGGACAACTGTCTAATTTTGGGGGGCATTGGGCTATCGATTTGAGTCCAGAAATAAAAGCTTTATGGATTTTCTCTGAAGTTTAATTAATCTGCATTTATTTTACCAAACATAAACGACCACCGCTGAGCACATGCTGACAGGCATACAAGACTCGGCCTCCTTCGTTCATCCTTATCACAAGTAATTTGAGTGAAATCTATTTGTCTCTTTCTTTCCCCCACGCGACATCACTCTCTATTCCCTTCAAAATCTGACTATTGTCTGCCCACTTTTTGTCTTTCTGATATCTGTGCTACCCTCTATGTTTTCCTTTTGTTCTGACCAACAGTTGAGATCGTGTTCTGATAATAAACTCATAATTGTGATAACAAGTGGGGCTCTGATACCACACACAGTTCCGTTGCTGCAAAAAAATTGGAGAGAAGATGGGGGCATGAAAAGAAGTGGCACAGCTGATGGAAAAACGT